TATTGACTCTAATTTTCGAAATATTTCATATTCATCTATCAAATAATTTTTAGCCTTGAGCCTTTGATCATTCGTAGCAAACTTCATTTTTTTATTTCTGGGATCAAGGATTGTTGCTAAAAGAGATTCATGAGTTGGATAATTCTAGTAGTAATTTAAGGCATTAAGCAATACTGACTTAACGTGATCTACCATCCCTTCACAGTTTTGTGGAATGTTAATTTTAACTTGGCTTATTTTTTTTCCATTTCAATATCTAATATTTCTGGCTCATCAATAAATTCGATATCTTCTTGTAAATCTAAATCATCATCGAACACAGTATTTGAATCATCAAGATCTACTGTAATTTGAACATTATTATCAATATCAAGCAATTTTTTTAATGAAGATATAGCTGTAAACATAAATGACATTGTAGAGTATTTGCTTCCACCAAGTATTTTTGTAGCATTTGCAAAGGGCTGCAAAATTTTAACTAAATCATCTATTAGCTGCCATTCGTTTGGTGTTAGCATTATTCGTTTGAGGCGTCGTGCATCTTTTTTGATTACAGGATCATTGTTATGATTTAGCGTTACTTGCATTATTTCGATAGCAGGTTTTAATTTAAGAATTCAAACCCATGCCAAGTATGTAGAGTCCCACCTTGTTGGGACATCAGCTATCGCTTGTAAATACTCATGATTTTTATTAATATTACTGCACACTACTTGATCTAATAATGCTTGTGCGGATTCAAGTTGTTCACTTTGTTTGGATGACATAAAAAATTGTATAAGTCATCTTGCCTGTGCAACCAATGTCTTAACTGGCAAAAGACCTTTACCCACTACAAGTTGTAAAGTATGTGCACTACATGCAAGTCGATTAACTCCTTCAATTTCATTAATTGCCTTTATCATATTTTTTGCATTGTCTGTAATTACCATAAAACATTTTTCATTGATACTCCAATTCTGAAGAATTGATTTTAAAGTAGTAGCAATTGTGGAACCAGAATAGGGATGTTTTAAATCATGAATCGCCAGAGTAATTTCTTGCATTTCAAATTGTGGATCAATATACGAACATGTGACTCCAATGAATCCTGAATTACAGCGTGCCGTCCACAAATCTGTCATCAATTCGCAATACTTCATTGATTCCTTTAACTTACTACGAACAACTGCTGACATCCAATCATAAGCCAAATAAATTTTACTTTTTATTCCTTTATTACTAGGCAATTTGTAGGATAGACTAAGCGCTAGTGAATATTTTATAAATCCTGGATTTTCTAGCATGTAAAATGGCTGGGAATCAGTAACTATGAATTCAACCAAAACTTTGTCTACTTGCTCTTTATAAATGGCATTATCTTTTATTTGATAGGATTTTTCATTGTTCATTAATTGAGAAACATATGATTCGTGTCTTCCAAATTTCGTAATTCCATGCTTATTCTGAAGATGGTCACTGAAATTTCCTGTGCCACCATCAGTTTCAACCATATGATTACATAGAGTTCCATCTTTTTTTAGTTCTTTGCACCGTCCTTTGGACCCTTGGTTAGTGGATAAATCTTCAAAATGATCCCATATCCAACTCCGTTTTCTTGATCCTCCTCTCAACT